CTCCTTTAATTCTCTTAAATATGGGGGGCTCCCCTTTGTTTTAAAAAGAGACCTCAGGTTAGAATGAAAAAGAGTAAAAGTAAATCCTCAGAAGAAGTTAGAGGAAAATATTCAAACTCTACCCATACTCCAAGTCTCAATCACATAACACTCAGGCTTTGTTTGGTAACTTGGATATCCTCAGCCCGGCAGCAATAGCAAAAATTACAGGAATCAAAGCTACCATCTCAAAATGGAATTTGAGCCATCCATAATCTTTACTGTCAAAGCAATTCCTAATAAATTTCAGTTAGGTTAATCCCATTAAGATCTAACATTGTTATCCTTGTAAGTGAAAACACATTTAATTAGTTCACAGGAACGAAGAGGCAGTCTGGTTCTGCCACTCCAATATCTGCTTCGCAGGCCCTATGGACATGATATGAAAATGGATAGGACTATTTGCTTCTGGTATTTCATTTTTTTCTTTCTCTTCCCCTATCCCCGCAGCCCTACTTACTGAAATTTTACAGTACCTTGCTACCAAAGTGCTTGCAAGGAGAGGGGAGCTCTTCGGAAGTAAGGAAGATCAGTAAATTATTTTGTTACTACCGCATCCCTCATGACACACCTTCAGTAACAGGTTCAAAAAGGAGCCCTTCTGTAGTGAACCCTGAAAAGCCAGTCTGCTGCAGATCTGACCATCTATTTCTTTTGAAACACTAAATAAAAGATAACCGGGCCAACTATCTTTGTCCCTAGACAGTAGTAGGAATACGCATTGTAAATGTGATCTCAGGGTTGAACAGAAACAGAAAATGATTTCATGAACAGAAAGATGGACAGGAGAGCTGAAAGTCCTCTACTGGTTTTGATAAAGCAGATGTTTTAGTATGACAGGTTACAAATAGTCGTTGTTACAAATAATCATTTTTACAATTAAATAGAAAACAGAAGGTACTGTGATATACAATTGTTAAAGCTGGGGAGTGCTAGAAACCAGGAAGATCAAAATCAGCTTATGGGAAGTCTCTTCCAGCAGATCTTTAACTCAACTCAGGTGTCTACATGAAACAATCTCTACTTGGTAGAGTCAACCCCTTGGCATTTGTGTCCTAATCTGATTTAGTATGATCTGGAAGGATAAACACAAAACGTTTCAATAAATTTGAATTATTTTTCCTGATTCTTCAAAGGTAAGGTATTTTTAATTTCATTCTGATTATAGGTTTTGCTGGAATTAAAAACAGGTGGCAGATGAATATTTGGTATTGCTGGCAGGGAGTCTGCATATCAATAGAAAACAGAAATTGTCTAATCACATAAATCATATATTGTAATCACATGAAAAATAGCTCTTTCAATTTGTCTTGGTGAGAAATGTTTTTTAAAAGCTCTAAGAATCAGAGACCCTCAAAGCCAACACCTTGATAACCTGCTATGTAGTGATGAGTCCACAGGATGGTTTGGGAAATACATAAATGTATATTTATTTTCCTAAAAGGCACATTAAATAGTCAACCGTGACCAATCAGGTTTTAAACGTCTGCTGTCAATTAAGAATAAATTCCTGAATTGATTAAATTTTTCCCATTTTGGAAAATGAAATTGGGTCTTTATTTCTGCCACATCTGCCATCAGCAAGGAGAAGGAAAGGGCATGAAATAAAATAAGCACTGGCGTCCAGAAAAGCTTACCTCCTCCTATTTTTTATTGGAAAAATAAAATTTGTTTTCCAGTAAGATATTTCATTTTTTTAAATCTGTTTCCACTCAAGGCTAGAGTTCTATTTATTTTTAAATGAGGCCCACGATACCTCCCAAGTGCGACTTAGATTTACATCTGGCTAATCCCCCGAATGTGAGGACCAAGTTCATGCTGTTTATTTCTAATGAGTTCTGTGATTTTTGGATACCACGTGTGAGAGATAGCAAATTAACTACTGCTAGTCAGCAGCAAGCAAGCAAAAGATGTCTTGGGAAGCCAGTGTGAGAAAATCCTGCAAGTCAATTTCTAATCACACTTGCCAGAAACATGGGGGTGGGGTGGGGGGGCGTGATAAAACCTGCCAAGAAAAACAAGTGGTAGAACCTGTTTCCTTTCCTTTTTCCATGGAATTTTTCAACACTCAACCAACAAATACAGCTCAATCTTTCCTTTCCATAACTTCAGGACTGCAAGGAAGGCTCTGGTCCCATTGATAGTCTTAGAAAAATTAAGATGCCTCTCACTGTAACATGTACCATCAGTCTGTGGAAGTTCCCTTCCTGGAGCGGTAACCACTTACATAAAGGGAGCTGCAGAGGTGAGGTAGGAGGTCACCTGCAAGCTATAGAAACAAGTATTCTCCCCCCAAGACACCTACAGGTGAGTAGACAAAAGGTAATCAAATCTCTTTACCTAGAACTGGCCAGAAATATTGTGCAACATGTGTGCGCCAGCTGAAAACAAAGCAGCAAACAGGTAGAGCTAGGAATAGCAGAAAAATACTCTCAGATCCAGTCACTAATAGCCTAGGAAGCACCGTGCAAAAGGTGCTTACTCATGTGCAGGGTAAGACCCCAGAGGGTACACTCTTGCAACATATTTCCATCTTATTTCGCATCTGAATCCCAAACCAAACAAAAGTCTTCACTAGTGGTTCTGAACCATGGCTAACCCGAGAATCACCTGGAGCTCCTGTAAACCAGGCTGATGCTAGGAAGCCCCCCTTTCACTTCCACCTCCCCACACCCCCACCCCGGACACACACACCCAACTCAATTGAAACTGGAATCTCTGCGAGTCAGACCAAGCGAGCAGTGTTCTGGAAAAAGCTACCCAGGTGATTCCACTGTGCAGCCAGTAGTTGAGAATTACACCTTTAGAAGCACAGGCACAGACCTCATTTTATTGAGTTTTGCTTTACTGCATTTCACAGATGTTTCTTTTTTTTACAAACAGAAGGCAAGACCCTACCCAGCAAAAAGATTATGACTCGCTTCATTGCGATACTTGCTTTACTGCAGCAACCTGGAACCAAGCCCACAATATCCCCGAGGTATGTATGCCTGTTTGCCCTTTTAAATAAGAAGCTGATTTCTCTATCAAGTAAAGTAGATTTCTAATTTCACTCAATCTGTCCTGTCCCAGAAAGTCCTGGTCGTGACCTCTACCACCACCCCTCCCACACCTCCCACCCAGCTAGCACCCAGGCTTCCAAATTCGGCAGCAGGTGAGCAGGAGGCCCTCCCACAGTTAGACATGGAAGCACGCTTGGGACAGGCCCCAGAAAGCAAGAAAAGCTTGACTCCATCCTGGTCATTAAAAAGCAGAAGTTCCTGTTTACCTCTGACTCAACACTTCTGACACCAGATGTGTGGGGTGTTCCACACCAAGCAAGTCCAGGTTGTCGCCTGTATCTCTGACCAACCAACCAGCTGTAAGTCAGGGACCTCCACAACCCCTTTCTCCAGTTCCATAATTTACTAGAACAGCTCTCAAAAACTCAGGAAAGCAATTTACTTACCAGATTACTGGTTTATTACGAAGGACAGAGCTCAGTAACGGCCAAATGGAAGAGGCCCAGGGCGAGGTGCATGGGGCCCCCAAGCTCTCCTCTGCACACCAACCTCCCAGCTCAACCCGGAAGCTCTCCAAAGCTTTCCTCCTAGGCTTTTTATGGTGGCTTCATTAAGTAGGCATAATTGATTAAATCACTGGCCACAGATGATTAACTCAGTCTCCAGCTCCTCTACCCTCCCTGGAAGCCCAGGCTGAAAGTTGCAGTCCTCTAATCACCGGGTTGGTTCCCATGGCAACCAGACCTCCTATTTAGGGGCTTCCAAAAGTCAACTTATTAACATAAACTCTGGTGTGGTAGAGAGAGACTTGTTTTGATTAACAAAAGATGGTCTTCTCACCTTGATCACTCCAGAGCTGTTTCAGGAACTAGAGACAATAACCAAATATTAAAACAAAAGATAGTCCTATTGCTCTTAAGAAATCACAAGGGTTTTAGGAATTCTAGCCAGGAGCCAGGGACAAAGACCAAAACGTATATTTCATAGTATATCACAGTGATCCAGGTGTAAGTGTTTTGAGTGTCTGGGGACATGTTGCTGTGTTTAACACAAAGGCAACCGTAAAATAGGGTGTGTAGTGAGCATAAAATTTTGGGTGTTTTTAGACCAGTGGTTCCCTAACCCTACTATGCATTAGAATCATCTGGAGGACTTGTTAAAACACCCCACCCTTGAGTCTGATTTAATCCACCTGGGGTAGGGTCCAACTATTGGCATTTCTAAGAAGTTTCCAGATTTTGCCGATGCTATTGATCTCAGGACCACACTTTGAGAGTCGGTGCTCTAGACTACACTTCTGGCACCTTCAAATACTAGAAATGCTGAACAGAGATTTGTTTTTATTCCCCCCCCCCAATTTTACTGAGATATAGTTAACATATAGCACTCTATAAGCTTGAAGTGTACCACATAATGATTTGACTTACATATATGGTAAAATAATTACCATCCTTCATCTCGTATAGGTACAAAAAGGAAGAAAAATAGGAAACCTATGTTTTTTCCTCCTTGTGATGAGAACCCTTAGAATCCACTCTCTTCACAACAATCAAGTATCATACATCTGTGTTAACTATAGTCATCACGTAGCACATTACATACCTAAGAGATTTATTTTTATAGTATCTTGTCTCTGCAAATGGGAGTATTGAACGTAGACTGGATATTTCATTTGAAGTCTATTATAGTTAACTATTGTTCTAGGTGTGGAAATAGCACTGTTTCAAAAAACAGAGTTCTTAACTTTAAGATATACACATTGAAAAATATTTTTAAACAAGACTGATAGAATTGGCATCTGTCATGCGCCCAAGCCTCCCTCTAAGGAGGCAAGGAAAGAAGAAACAGTGACCACTGGGATCTTTGGGGCAGCCCAGGAAAGAGTAACCACCAGGCTGTAATCACAAAGGGAATCAGTGCATTCCTTTACCTGAAATCTCCATCCAGAAAGTCTCTTACCTGAACGTACTGGGTGTGAAGGCTTCTGTAGTCTCCTGAGAGTCCTAGGAGAGAAAGGGAAACTGAGTCAAAAGTTCCAAGAGTGTAGAGGACCCAGTGGAGCAAGGTTTCAGCACACATCTCTGTCTACCTAGAGGAAGTTTTGGAAAACTGCTTGCTTATTAAGACTGGCCTTAGACCTGACTGCTCTGGAGCCATATCAGGGACTCACTACAGAACAGCAAGCCGTCCTGCTACCTGAGAAAACTGGAAGCATCTTGAGACGCCAGGCTTTAGCACCAGCTCTGCCTCTCCTAAGGCCCCGCAAGCTCGTCACTCTCCCCTTCTGGGCCTAGACTTCATTATCTGCAAAATGAAGTGTTTTAGATGTTCTCCATAGTGACTCCCAGAGCTAACAGGACATTGCTATAGTTGAAAAAATACTGGCCCTAGGACATAATCAGCAGAAAAAAAAGGTAGCTAACACAAATATATATGCTAGACCCCAGATAGTTATTTCTGTGGCTTATTTTATTTTACCTCTAAAATCTTTGTAAGGTTCGTCTCAATAGCGACAGAAGGCTAGGGACAAAGAGACTGTGGCTGACAGTGTGCAGTCACTTGCCCAAGGTCACAAAACTAGCGGCAGCAGAGCCACAGATCAAAGCCAGGAGCTGGCTGAGCCTAAGGGAGAAGTTCCTCCCACTCCACCAAGGTGATTTACTCAGTGCCACCCTGTTGCTGGTAGAATTGCACTAAAACCATGGTGAACTTTGACTCCAAGATCATATCAAGGGTTAAGTTTGTTTTCTGTGCCCAGGCTTCTCTTTTTAAAAATTCTGATATTTTTGTGAGCATGTCTTTGATTATAAAGTAACTGCCTGATAGAATATCCAGCGAAGTTAGCTTACAACATTTCTAATTTTTTAATTCAAAAAATGTATATTTGCTTCTCTCTAGTATTTCTCATTTTGAAAAAAACAGTTGATAACAACTGGTTATGTCTGGACCCAAGGAAGAAGCTTGGAGGTTTTGCTCTCTCTTAAAATCTTTAGAGGCTAGACCCCAAATACTTATTTTTTTTTTAAAGCATCTGGTTCCAAGAGCAATGTTCTTGGCAAGTCAGGAAAGCTTCACCTATTTCACATGGAGGCCATTTCTTTTCTAAGGAGAAATCGTTTTCTAGGGATCAGCACCAGACCACATTCCTGCTGGGCCAAGCCCGGTGACGCAGCCTCAGTGGGTGAGCACATTGCATCAGGCCCGTCTGGCTCGCAGGGCTCAAGGTCATCTTCCTCTCAGGAAGGAATTCACATAATTGGCTGCGCACACCCGTCCGGTGAATCGGGTGGCAGGACAGCCCATTCGATAGATCAGTGGTCTGAGCCAGGACACAGCTGCTAGGCTCCCTCCAGGCTTCAAGAAATTCAGCACGATCACCCTCCCCCACTAAGTACGATTAATTTTATGAAATGGGGAAAATAAGCGTGGTAAATAAAATGGCTGGCACACACTTCGCACAGCAGAAAACACCGACGGTGCATACAGCGCCAGCTGACTTCGAGGTGCTAATGAGGGCGCTCAGTAAAGACTGCATTGAAAAGGAGCCTCCATTTAGCCAGCCCTAACCCCCATGCAAACCTTTCTCCCACACCGCAGCAGGGGGGCCTTGCTAATTGGAATGTGCTCCACACCAGGCCTGGAGCATGCTTCTGAGCAGCACATACCTCAGAGCACCCTGGATCTCTCTCTCTCTCTCTCCCATTCACACACACACACTCCCCACTCAAATTTCTCACCTCTTAAAAAATCTAAACGTGCACAGTCATGAGTGTGGTTTTAGAAATTAAAGTGCATGTTCACGTGACGGTTAAAAAACAACAACACAGGTGGAGATCGTTTTTCTAGCACACGTTTCCCCCTAAGACCCAGGGTGATGACCACAGACAGAGACGACAGAGCTGCCTGGTGAAAGGGGCCCTCAATCCCATTAGCTCTCGGCTCTAAAGGAAGATGGTTGTTCTGAAGTCCCCTTTATACATAGCACGTTCAAAAAAATCCCTATTTTTTCAGTACATCTTTCTGTAGGGGAGCCTGTGTGCCTTTGAAGCCTCAGCACAAAACAAACAAGAGTCTTTACAAGTCCTGTCTGACCACCCAGGGAGAATCAAATAGTATTTTTTTTCTCCAGTAGGCCACCCCGGGGATACTGCGAGTGAAAGTGAAAATGAGGAATTCATCATGGAACTGGGGTGAATTTTTCCAGTGTAGCTACTACACCGTTTTAATAAAATATTATGGAATATTATTCATTAGCAGAGCCAAAGGGAGCTAATTGTTTGTTTATTGAGCAGAAGTTTTGAAATAGCAGAAAACAGGTTAAAATCGAGGGAACAGTAGAGGGGGGCAAGAGTAAGGAATTTTCTTCTCAAAGTCTCAAGACTTGAGCAGGGATTTTTCAAGTGTTGATGCTGAGAACAGCAGGATGATGGAGCCAGAGCCAGGTGCTCTTTCGTACAAAAGCCTGGGTGAAACTCTCAAAGGCTCAGACCGCAGGAGACATTGGGGTGGTTTTCTCAGCACCACACTAAATTGCGGAGTTACATGAAAGTATTCTTATGGTTAGAAATATCCTGAAATGTACTCCTCTAATCATGTCCCGTCCCTGCACAAAATCTCCATTTGGGCCTAATCAAGACCAGATCCTGTAGAGCCAGACTCTGGGAGCCTTTCCTATCAAAGCCCAAGCTGCCTTCCGAGGCTCAGTTACTACCATAACCATTGGGCACACAGCGTCCCAGGCCCCCTGGTGCCCCTGCTGTTCCTCAGGGACGTGAGCACTTCCACCCGGCCAGGCCAGTGAGGAAGGACTTATCTTCACCTGAGATGTCCTGAGCCCTCATCGCTTTCTTGACTCGGCCTTTAAGACAAGGATATGAAATGGGGTTCACGGACCTCCTCCAGAATCACAGCTCTGCCGATAAACAGCTGGTGACTTTGGGCAAATTATTTAATCTCATTCCCTGCCTCCTCAGTTTCTTCACCTGCTAAATGGGAATAATAAAGCCTATCTCACTGTTGTGAGCTTTAAGACTAGGATGATCAGTTGATTCTCAACAACTTAATGTGTTACTTCACTCAAGCAAAATGCCACCTTCCCCCAACTCCCAAGCCTTCCTTAACACCACAGCTAAAAATAATCTCCCCTTCTCTAAATTCCCCTCCCAGGTTCACTGCAGCTGGTCTAGGTCCTGGTCACTCTCTAACTGCATTATTACTAGCCTTCCATATATCAGCACACCTACCAGACTGTGTGCTCTTTGAAAGTAGAACCCAGGTTTAATTCATGTCTCTATTCTTTCCAGTGTCCTGGCACATAATCAAACTGTAGAATCTCAGGAATTAATAGGACTCTTCATACAATCTAGACAAAACCCATTATTCTGTAGATAAGAAAACTGAATCCATGTGAGAGGAATGACCACACTACTGGTAAGTAACACAACCTCTTCCTACATGACAAACATGACTAGGTGGATGAATGGATGGTTGGACAAATGGACATAGGGACAGACCAAACCAGCAATGAGCTACAGCATCCAAGATACTGTCAGCAATTCAAATCCTGACCTACCATATAATGGCCACCTCAGCACTCATGCTTTCTTCACCTACTAAAAGTTTTTAAATGCCATTTCTTTATAATTCATGGTAAAATCCAGATCAAGAAAAGTCACCATGCAAAAGGGTCTGAAATAATATACCTCTTCAACAGCAGGATCTCTTAATTTAAAATATAATTTTAAGTAAAATCTTGTTATTTAAAAATCAAGTTATTTTAAATAAAATATTCAAGACTTTTCAGATAAACAGCAGCTCACCTTCACCGTGTATAGCTCATTCATGCCCCAACTTTTACTGAAAGCCAACACCCTGTGCCAGTCACATGCCTGTCCCCACAGGAAGCCCACAGACAGACCATCCCTGTGAAGAGCTCACAGCTCAATGCCATTCCTTGCTCTTCTCCTCCATTCTGTCCCTTCCATCTGTCCTGACATTTATTCAGTAAGGTGCTGTACCGGCGTGATAAACCCTATCGCAGACACAATGAGAGAATTATGGAAAGGCCAATTGCAAAGCACTTGGCAAACGCTGAAGTCTGGAGCTTTGGTCTCTAGGAGCCCATTTCCCTTCACGCTAAGGCTCAGGAAGTGTTGCAATCTTCTCAGATGGCAGGGAGCTCCAAAGGCTTGCACGGGAAGGCCTTCCCAGAGGGCCGCCCGACAGCCGCAGGGCCGGCAGGAAGCGGCCTCGGGAAACATTCTGCGGTGTTGCTGCATGTTCAAAACTGCCCGCCTCTCTCCAGACCTTAGGACTTTGAAACTGCCTGGAAATGCGATGTGGGTAACACACCGCCCAGAAAATGACAGTGCAGGACTGCTGGGACTGGAGATAAGACGTGGAAAGCAAGGTCACAGCAGTTAAAGACGACACAAAACCAACTGCCACGGCGTTGTGCTGGCCATTGTCCTTGCCCTGGCACGCTTCCAGGGCACGCGGGAGCATTTGGGGTCATTCAGGGAGGGCTTCCCTGTGGGACAGGATCTGTCTGAGGTGGATCCGATGATGGTTCCAGTGTCACTTCCTCAGAAGCTGTCTCCGACATCCTGCCTAAAACAGTACTTCTGGCAGCATCTCTATCACCACACTCTGCTTTATTTCTTTACAGCAATTACTGTTACCAAACGTTAAATCGTACCATTATGTTTTCTCATTATTGCCAGTCTCCCCTGCCGAAACAAGCTTCCTGAGCACGGGGACTGTTTTCTTCACTTGTATGTTCCCAATACCTAGAACTGCATCCAACACCAAGTAGGTGATGAGTGAGTTTCGATCAACTGAGTAACTGAGATCCACGCCCAGGCAGAAACCCATTAATGGAGGCCCAGCGTTATTAACAACAGTTCCTCTTCCTCAATACAACAGTATTGGGTATTAAGTAAGACCCAGTTTGAACATGGCCCCTCTCTACTAATACCTGGGGCAACTCAGGAATAAACCCAGA